TGTGATAAAGGTACTTTTTTTTTTGTAAAGGCCCCCCCAGTGGCACAGAATCCGGGTTTCGATACTCGTGGTGGGCAGAGCACAGATAGCCCATTGTGTAGCTTTATGCTTAATTACAAAACAAAACAAACAAACAAATCTTTGTGAAGGGTATGATAACTGTTCAAATGCTAGAGGATACAAAAACTGCAGTGTTTTAAAGGATGAAATCAGTGCTTAATGTCAAAGGCGTAGTTTTCATGGGAGCATTAGTATTGAATTATAAGACATTGCTCAGTACTAAGATATGTGACGTGCGTTCAGTAAATCAGAAATAAGTTCATTGCTCGTTAGAAAAACATGGGATCCATTGATATATATTGAAGGACGTGATCTCTGCTTAGTTTGAAAGCATAGGATCACTCTTCACTTTTAAGAAGTGAGACCACTATTCAGCTTTATAGAAGTCAGCTATTCAGTTTTATACAATAAGTCCACTGCTTACTTATGGAATAATACCAGTCTTCAGTGTTATGGGAGAAACCGTTGTTAACTTTTAAAGGATAAGACCTATTCATATTCAAGGGATAGTATCACTGCTTAGTTTTAAATGTTGGATCACTAGTGGTTCAATTGTAAGAAATTATAGACTATTACATAATTTAAAAGGGTATGGCCACTGCTTAGTTTAATGGTTTGGATCACTATTCAGTTTATAAAGAATGTGACTGCAACTAAGTTTTAAAAGAAAGGACCACTCTCTCAGCATTATAAGTTTGGACCATTGCCTAATTTCAGAGTTAGGATCACTGTTTACTTGCAAAGGATCCAATTCAGTTTAAGGCTATAACTTTACTGTCAGTTTTAAAATATTATGACCACTGTTTAGTGCATTAAATCCAGTCTTAAAGTCAGAACCACAACTCAGTTTGAGAAGTAACACCATTACTCACTTTTATCAGATACGATAAAGTTGAGTAACTGCTCAATTTCAAAATAATGCCATTGCACACTTTAAGATGTGATCTTTGCTCAGTGTTTAATCTCGGGACCAGTGCTTTGGTTTGTGTAATAGTATTTCTGCTTTGTGCTAGAAGATATGAGTAATGGATAAACACAAAACTAATAAGGAAGAGGCAACTATCTAATATACAAGAAAATATTTGTGCCTCAACTCACTTAATTTTATTCTTTGATATATTTTTATTTTGGTTTCTTCATAGGGAATGTCCTTAAGAGAAAAACTTCTTTAAATGCAGCTATTAAAATATCATTCAAATTGTTTTATGAATTTATTCTATGTTTTGAATACTGCAATAGGTAAAATTGAGTTGAACTGATTTCCCATGACCTTTTCATGACCAAAATCAGAGCATAGAGAAAATAACACACTTTTATACCAAAGGCACCAAAAAGAAACTCTTAGTTATTAGTTTTTTCCATTTTTTTACCCCATTTTCCCTTCCAAAATCACTGAAATATGCAATAGATTTAGTAACACAGTGGCGATTTTTTTGTTTTATTTACTTTTATTGGTTTATTAAGAAACTAGGTATAGCATATAAACTGAATGTAAAAAAAAGCGTAAATAATAAAAAAATTACACTTTATAAACTTGTGAGGTATGAATTTTCTGTAAGCCTCTTAGACTTTATGTCCAATGAAAGAGAACTTTAAAATGACAGTTGAACACCAATAAATGTAGCTGTAAGTGCGTGTATTTATAGGAACAAATGTGTATATTTTTATGTACAATAGGATCCATGTATGACAAATTATTTGAAGGCTAGTAATAAAATCCGGCAAAGGCAGATAACGTTTATTTGTTGTGGAAAGATTGTGTAAGTTTTCTGTATCACAGAATCTTGCGTAAAGTATTAAATTTTATACTGAAAAAACAAAAACAACAAAGCAAAAACTGCTAACAGGCGAATCTTGTAAAAAAGAAGAAAAACACGAAATGAATCCTTTTCCTTACTGGTTTAAAAAAAAGAAGAAAAAAAAACTGTAAAATGTTTCATACTTTCACCTAGAGAGGGCATAAATTTTGGTTCGGAAAATTTGGATTATCTGTACCACATTCTGAATGGAGTCTTTGTTCATGCTGGATATTTAGATTACCAATATAACTTTCAATGTCCGCCGTTATTAGCAAGTTAAGATATGCTTCTCATGAATTTTTCATGTGCTATATGTTTAACCTGAGAATTATATTCACATTTTCCGTCCGAATTGAATTTAACTACTTTATATATTCTCAAGGAAAATTCTCCCATGAAAGAAAAACCTTGAAAGGCAGATGTGGATTAAACTTAACCCCTCATCAACTATCTGAGTAAGGAAAACAAGCGTCAAAATCAGGAAGATTTGTAAAGAAGTATCGACTACACAGTATGCTAAAAACCATAAGTTTGTCGTAGTGAGAAATCTAACTGAAGAGTGGGTGGGAAACATTTTTAGATTGCATTTAAAGGTATAGGAAAACAATTTCTTAGAGACGCATCAATAAAGTACCACGTTATATTAGAAAGTGGAGCGTAAAGTGCTTGTAGGCTTAAAGTGCTTTTACTAGTTTTTGCGGTCTCACATTTCTGTTGTAAATTTCTACTGAATTTTTCCGATAACGTTTATGTTATATGGCTGTTTCTTTATAAGAACAATAGGTTATACCATGAATAAACCATTTAAAACTGATTTAAAGAAATAAACATATTTATATAAAACTATTTCCCAGCAACTCCACTTGAATCCTATTCAAATTGTTAAGATATATTTAAACGTGTAACCTGCATCCATAACTAAACACACTTAATAAATCAATTATATTTGTGACTGTATCAGTTCGTTTCATTTAGAGCCGAGTATGCCCCAGTGGTTAGCGTGCCGAACTGTGGATCTAAGGTTTCGTGTTTGTGTCCCGTTAGTGAAAAAATAATCTCCCTGCACGCTGAGGCCGAGGGTGCACTATAAGAATAACGGTGAAATCCTACTATTCGATGTGACAAGAGTTGATGGTGGGTGGTGTTGACTTGCTACCTTCCCTCTAGTCTTATCACTTCCAAATAAGGGATGTTAGCAAAGATAGCCCTCCTGTAGTCTTGCGAGAACTTCGACAAAATAAAACTTTTCATTTGGTTACTGTTATACTTGTCAATAGCTCATATTAATTAATCCTTGTACCACATAGTAGTAGCCAAGTCTTTGAAGTGGTTTCATAAAACAATTTCTTAAGATGTTCTTGAAAAAATAAAACATTTTTATTTTTAAAGGAGGAATGGCAAGATCAGTAACCAATATTAGTATCAGAGTTAGTATTCAAGTAGTACCTCATTCAGATGCATATAAAATTTAATTTTTTACACTTATTTCAGGTCAATGGGGTCGATAGAAACAAAATGGCGGATGTTTACATTTTATGCGGAGAGAGTGCTATTGTATAAAAAAATGTTTTTACACATGCAAGTAAGATAATTATAAAATAATAGCTTGTTTGACAGTTGTAACAATAAGCGAATTTAACGTACTGTATGACGACGTTTTTATGTTAAAAAAACTGCTTCTAACATTGGAACCAGTGGATTTTATGTTGTGGTAATTGATGAGAAAGTGTAAAAAAGTCAAATATTCAAATGAATCATAATATAAGTTGAAATATTCTTACACTTAAAGTGGTCAAACATGCTAGAATTATATTTTTATATAATAATTTTATTTTTGTTTGCAATTTTTTATAAATACACAACAACACCTTTTCCGGAGATAATACACACTTCGGCCACTTTGTTACTTTGACCCCATTGGCCATAAAATGTGATGAGAAAATTGACTTTTTTAATGTATTACATGAGACAATACATTAATACTAATTCTGATATTGACTTTTGAACACTGATCGTAATTACCAGTCTTTGGAGACGAGCACTAATTGATACCATGTTTATATGTTATACTATTTAAAGAAGCTATCAGAATTTACAGTCAGTCATTTTGCTTACGATATATATCTCTTTGTTTTCCGGGAATAATGTTTGAAGATCTTTATTATATTTTTTTGCTTTCATTCAAGGTGTAACGTGTGCGCCTTTTTGGTGTAAGCCCACACTAACATGCTTTTGAATTATGTTCAGGAAACTTATAATAGTT